GAGCATCTTATTTTGGTCGCAATGAGCCACCCCTTCAATAGGCTATGAGCCCAAACCCCCCGTCTGACTTGAACACACAATAGGCTTGACGCAAAGGACCAAGATACCAGCAAATGCGACCTTGGTGGGGGCCACAGTTAGCATCGAGAAGCTACATGGTAACAGCTATGGCGCATAGACTTTCAAAGGCCCGGATGCTCATGATTAAGACTGACCTATGGGGGCTACGTGACCGGTACGATCCGTAAGCCCCTAAGCGGCAATGGTAGTGTCGCTACATGCGAGCACAGGTGGGAGGAGGCCTTGGCAACTCTGGCGCTGTCATTGACGGCAAAGATCACTTGCTCGATCCGCATGATGAAGACAGCTAAAGAGTTGTGTTGGGCACGTTGGAAGCCAAGTACCAGCCCAAAAAGGAGTTGCCTTCTTCATCCTCAAGAGAGGCATTTTGACCGTCAGAAAGGCTCTGTGGAGAGCATGCAGGAGTACCTCGACCGCGTCGCAACAAGGTACGGCAAGATCAAAGCACAAGGAGTCGAAATGTCGGGGACCAACTAATGCCTCGCCAAGCACATCGGGGTCGACTCACGCTACGGCTATTGAAGGAATGGCTCATTACGACAATAAGATGCTCTGACCTGTTCTCTTCGCTGCACGAGCTCTGGTTGGCAGTGTGCGGCTCCTTATATATCTCTAAGGCGCTGGCTTTCACGTGCACCGACTGTAGCTTGATCCTTGCTCTCAAACCTTGCATGATGTTCAATGGTGTTCTATAAGTTGTGTTGCTTCGATATGCTTCGCTCCGTTGGCTCGCACGTCCGTGCCGCCGCCGCTCTTCCGTCACTCCCCCTCGGCAGCCAGAGCTCATCTCATGCTATTGACAACGATGGCTGCCGCACGATGCGTTTCCAAGTATTTGTTCTGCAGCGGCTTGATGAGCGGGTCGGCGATATTAGCGTTGCTGGCGACCCTCTTCTTGTCATGTTTGACGCGGGTCGCTGCAGAACGCTGGTTGGGCGCTCCTTGTCCTTGGCATCCTCGGCCAGCTTTTCCGCATCCATCTTGACGCGGTCGGCAAGTTCCGCAAGGTATCAACGGTCGGTTCATGCTCTTTAGTTTCCTGTACTTCGGCAGTATCCGGAATATGTATGACATCATTGCCTCCGGCAACATGAGCAAATTCGAGGTGCGCTTCTTGCCCGCTGCCTCACCAATGGCCGAGCTTTCTTTTTTCTTTCTTCACGTTTTCGGCGACCTTATGCAAGTCTTGGCACCAGCGGACAGGGTAGCATCACCCAGGACTGCGTCATTAGCTTTCTCTTCTTCAGCAGTCTTGTTGGAGGCTTCAGGCTCGTTCATTTCGTTCTCCTCCTTGGCATGCCATGCGACGGCCACCGCAATAGTGGTAGCCGTGGCTGTTTCTCTCTCGCGTCTTTGAACTGTTATTTTTGGTCCTTAGTCTTTCAGCTTTCAGCTTTGCGCTCGGCTTCCTTGCTACTTCAGCGCTTTCGAGCTTGTGATGTACCGCAGCTTCTGGGTTCTCTAACTCGACTTTTCCATGCTTCAAGAACCGCAGCACCACTCGCTGTAGCTGCACCCAGCTCTGCACTTTCAGAAGCAGCGCCATTGCTCTTCCAAGACTCGAACACGCACGTCTCCACTGGCATGGTAACATTGGGCTTGTCTTCGGCACTTGCCTGACAAACTTCGATTACGCTGGGCAAATGCTTTAGCACCCTTTGCCTTGGCAATCGACTGCGATACTGACGCAGTTTCGAGCTCCTTGGCAAATGTATGCACATGGCTTCCTTTGTCGTGAGGATTAGAACCACTGGAGCTGCCTTCGCGTCCTTTCCACCGCAGTGGCGGCCTTTTCTACCGCGACTTTCTTCCCCTCTAGCGCCTGGGCTTCTTGTAAGGATTGTTCCTCTTTAACTTGTTGCGTTGGTCCCTGCTGCTGCACCGGTCGTTGCCCCCCCC